GGTGACATAGAAGGCACCAACATTTTAGGATAGAAAAATGTGTGACTGCATTATTAATTGGTTCACTATGTGAATTGACAGTGTGTTTGTTGATCAAATGTGAATAAAGTTCTGCTTTAGAAAAAAAATGAGCACACAAGCAAGGGTCATATTTTGTTTTTGGATTGTGTGTAGAAGCATTGTAGCAACATCAACTTAAAGGTCTGATTCCCAACCCTCAGAATGCACATTTTGCTGGACTTTGTCTCCTGGAAGCCCCATATTGTAGTGTGTGTAAATGCCAATAACTCTTAGAGTTGTAATCCAACATACAAAAGCACATAATAGGGGAATACTGTCTTAGAAGGTCCAATCCTTCTGATATGAGAAAAAAGGAAAGCCTCTTTTACAAGGCGATTTCCCATTTGTAGTTTGCGTAGGTACTCATATCAATAATCAATTTGTGTAAAATATTGTCTGATTAATCAAGGGCATCTTTAACTCAGTTTGATTGATTGTTGGTTGGATTGTTTAATTGAACTGGTAAATTGATGGAAAAATGCATTCCTTCTTAATGTTTACTTCTCTCCCTTTTCCAATGAAACTATTAGGAAATCCATTTGTTCATACTGAAGTTGTTGCTACTGTAGCTTATTCCATTCTGCCTGTAGTGGACAGCAACATGTAAAATAATGGATTAATAATAATAACAATAATAATAATAAATAAACAACACTACATATTAAAAAGGATTGGAATTATCTCATACCTAACTAATCTCAAGGGCTTCCTGGTGGTGCAGTGGGTTAAACAGCTGAGTTGCTGAACTTGCTGACTGAAAGGTTGGCAGTTCGAATCCATGGAGCAAGGTGAGCTCCCGCTGTTAGGCCCAGCTTCTGCCAACCTAGCAGTTCAAAAACATGCAAATGTGAGTAGATCAATAGGTTCCACTTCTGTGGGAAGGTAATGGTACTTCATGCAGTCATGCTGGCCACATGACCTAAGAGTTGTCTACGGACAATGCCGGGTCTTCATCTTAGAAATAGAGATGAGCACCACCCCCCAGAGTCGAACATGACTAGAGTTAATTTCAGGGGATTAACCAGAAGTGTTAATCACCAGCAGCAATAAATTACTGCTGACCTGAAGGTGGCAAGTTCAAAGCCCAAGTTAAGTTTGAGCTCCTGACTGTTAATAGCCTCACTTACTGTTCACCTAAGCAGTTCAAAAATAGCTGAGCTGTGAGTAGAGAAATTAGGAACTGTTTAAAGGGGGGGGGGGATAATTTATGATACCATAAAAATGCTGGGGAGCAATTAGCATCATAGTGGATGAAGCAACAGTTCCCCCTGTGGCCAGAATTGAGCAAACTCCAGGAGCCGAAGTTGGAAAAAATGCTAAATTACCTCTATCTGTCTGTATGTCTTGTATGTCTAAAAAAAATGGCATTGAATGTTGGCTGTGTATGTGTATATTGTGATCCACCCTGAGTCCCCTTTGGGGTGAGAGGGGCGGAATATAAATACTGTAAATAAATAAATAATCCATTACCTTTTAAAACTAATCTCAGCTATTAGGAATTAGTCTGGACAATTCATTTATTATATAGATGCAAAGTTGGTGATTCAGGCTCATTGTGGGAGTGGTTACCAGCATATAGTGCCTTCAAATACTGGCTTCTAACCCCACGGTGTGTGTCCAAGGAGCAGATGGTAAATGCATACTTAAATCCAAATCTTCCCATAGCAATAGGTACATGAGCAAATATTGTTGATGATTCACAGACATTACTGTTTAGCTATATTTGTGTGCTATTTTCCTTTCTTTAAGCTCAAAGCAGAGCACCATACAAGACCCTCCACCTCCTTTTCTCATCACAGTAACCCTGCAAAGACTGCATGAGACAGCATGACTCACCCAGGATCACCCAAGGAGTTTTGTAGCTCAATGAGAACTAAAAACAGAGTCTCCCCTGTCTCTTGTCCAGTACCCTAACCACAACACCACAACAGCTGCCGGGATAATTAGCTCCCTGTTTCAATGTGGAAGTTTTTCAGGTAGTTTCCACAGGCCCAAGTGGTTCTGTGAAGAGGTGATCAAATTGAAACACAGATTTCAATGAGTTTCCAGGAGAAACAAACCTGCTTAATGTGTGTGTGTGTGTGTGTGTGGTGGGAGTACTGAAAAGCCTCTCTCTGTACCTTTGCTGTTCAGGCCCAGCACATGAATAATCCATTCAAGTGGGTCCTTGGCCGAATTTGAGGTTGTTTTTGGTCCCCCACCCACCCAAGATCCTATTTTCCTCTAAGAATGCCTCTTTCTTTCCCTGTTTTGATCTGGAGAGCTTAAGGAGACAGCTTTGGTCTAACTAGGCCCTGCTCTATCCCACTGCTCAAAATGTCTTGTTTTGCAGTTTGGGTGTCATTCTTAGTTTGAGAAAGTTAACTAAAAGCCTCTCTCCTCCTGTTCCCTCCCCATCTCCTCCTCATATAGAAGTATTGAGTCTGAGAGTGCGGGAAAGGATGTAATCTCACTCCAAAAAAATGCCTGGATGCTGTGTGAAAAGTTCCCTGGCTTTCTTTCTTCCATTCTCTCCCTGCCTCCCTCCCTCCTTTCCCTCTCTCTGCCTGGCCCCCTAAAACTCTTTTGTCAAGGAGGCCAGTGCAACATGTGGCCTTTCACCCCGCCCAAGAACCAATGCCAGACAGCCACACTCAGAGAATTGTTTGTTAATAGTCCAATTAGATAATTGCCATCTTTCACTCCTTTGGCTCTACATTTCCCATAAAGGCCTGAATAAGGAGAGCAGTATGAAGGGGGCTTCTGCCCTGCAAGGTGACAAGAAAGGCCGGAGCATGCTCTCCGCACAAAGCCAGGCGCTTGAATTGAATCATTGTAGCCTAATCAATGGTCTTATTGGATTATGGGCTGTTGCGGTTCTCAAAGATATTGTAGCAGAGACAATGAAATAGTCCGGGAGGGGGGAGGACTTCTCTCTCTTAACCCCCCCCCTTTTTTTTTTAGTGGATCACGCAGTTGAGATCTCTCCCTCCCTCCCTCCTTCTCTCTCTCACTCTCCTGGATCCATCTGAATACAAAACAGGCTTTTTTAAAAAAGGAAAAGAAAGCAAATGTGTTCTGTGTTTGTCAAGGTGCAGAGAATGGGAAAGGAGGAAGGAAGAGGGACACACACACACACACAAATGTATGAATGGAATGAAGGGGGGGAGACGAGTTAAAGATGGCTGGCTGGGGAGAAAAGAGAAGGATTCTTTTTACTTGTTGTTTCCCTCCTCCTAGAAAAAGAACTAGGGAAGGAAGGAAGAAAAGAGCATGAAAGGAAGGAAGAAAAGAAGGAAATAAGGAAATAAGGATGGATGGATGGATGGATGGATGGATGGATGGATGGATGGATGGAAGAAAGGAAGGGAGGAAGGAGAGAATGATGGAAGGATGGATGGAAAGAAATATGGATGGAAGGAAGGAATGAAGAAAGGAAGGAAAGAAGGATGGGTGGGTGGGTGGAAGGAACGAAGGAAGGATGAATGGAAGGAAGGAAGGAAAGAAGGATGGAAGGGTGAAGGAAGGAAGGAAAGAAGGAGAAGGAAAAAAGAAGGAAAAAAGAAGGAGGAAGAAGGAAGAGAGGGAGAAGAAGAATGGAAGAAGGAAAGAAAGAGAAAGAAGGAGAAGGAAAAAAAGAAAGAAGGAAGGAGGGAAAGGAAAAAAGGAGGAAAGGAGGGAAAGAAGGAGGAAGGAAGGGAAGGGGAAGGAAGGAAGGAAAGAAGGATGGATTGATGAAAAGAAGGGAAGAAGGATGAATTGATGGATGGATGGATGGATGGATGGATGGATGGATGGATGGAGTGGATGGAAGAAAGAATGAATGGCAGGGGAAGAAGGAAGGAAGATGGAAGGAAGAGTGAATGGAAGAAAGAAAGGAAAGAAGGAAGGAAGGAAAGAAGGAAGGGAAGGAAGAGAATGAAGGAAAGAAGGAAGTGAGGGAGTGGGGAAGGGAGGGTATTCCTTTGGATCAAGAAGGATTCCCTCCCCCGGGACATTTCTTCTTCTCGTGTTTGGCTGGTCACTGGTGGGGGTTTGTGCCCTGGGTGGCTGTTTTTGTGGAGCCATCAAGGGCTCCTTGAGCCAACTTCATGGGTCCTTCTTCTGTGCCTCTCAATGCCTTTTCTGAGGCGTGTCTTAAAGGAGGAAGCCCTCTCCGCAATCGGCAAAGGGTCAAAGGCAAAGGAGAAGAAAGTTCATAATGGCTGCTCACAATTCGGGCTGAATCTTGTCAAAAGTTTTTTTTTAATTCCCCCCTCTCTTTCCCTCCCTCCCTCCCTCTTTCTCTCTCTCTCTCTCTCTTTCCTCCCCTTCTTCTGGAAGTCTCCGTCTTTTGATTGTGTGTTTCCTGAAAGCAAGGCCAATCATTTCAGTTTATTCACTGGCTAAACTCGACTTGATTGGGGACAAGCATACAAACCACCCATTACGATGTGATATATTATCCAAACAATTTAGTGTATTCATGAGGTAACCTAAATGTGGAGGCTGCAAAATTACCCGTAATCAATTGAAGCAGCGAGTGCGCGTCCCTCTGGGTATCTAACAACTACATCTCCCTCTCTCTCTTTCCCCCCGCCTCCCTCCCTCTCTCTCTCTCTCCCCTCTGTAATAAGGGAGGCATTAAATCACTTTAGAGTTGCACTGTGGAGTACCTGATCATTGGGGCGCCGGAGAAAGCTGGACACTGGCACTAGGACGCGGGGACTGAGGAAGGCGCAGGCTCCCTGCCTCTCTCTCTTTCTTTCTCTCTTTCTCCCTCCTTCTCTCTCTCTCTCTCTGCAGACCCCTTCTCCGGATTCAAAGGGACCCCGGTCTGGCCAGAAGACGTGCCCTCGCCCAACACACCGGCTTCGCCTCGCTTCCAACCGCGACACCCCCCCCCCCCCCCCCCCCCCCCCCCCCCTTCTTTCCTTCTTCTTTTTGGGTACTTTCCTTTCGAAAAAAAACTAAATCTCGCACTACATGTTTGGGAAACCAGACAAAATGGACGTTAGGTGCAACCCCAATCCGGAGCTGGAAGCCAACCGGGTGTCCAAGAACGGGCATAACAACAACAACCACGCCAATAACAACAATAGCAAAGAGGGCAAGGAAGGGAAGGGCGCCGAAGGGACGCTCTCGACGGCCTTCCTGAAGGAGCAGCAGCAGCAGCAAGGCGCTTTCTCGGCTTCCGGCGCCGCCGGGGAAGACTGCAACAAAAACAAATCCAGCTCGACTGATCCGGATTATTGTCGGAGAATATTAGTCCGAGGTAGGAGCGCCGCGTTCTTGGCCCCGAGAGCGTGCATTTGTGTGTATGTGTGTGTATGACTTTTCCTTCTTCCCTTTCGCTCTCTAGGTGTGTTCCACTCTCTCTTTCACAACTCTGCTTGGTTTGTTTGTTTGTATGGGAACTGGGAGGTGGCTGGGCATCCCAGATCCGGCAGTGTCTGTTTTGTATTGTCGAAGGCTTTCATGGCCGGAATTGCTGTATGGCCATGCTCCAGAAGCATTCCCTTCTGACGTTTCTCCCACATCTATGACAGGTATCCGCAGAGTTTGTGAGGTCTGGGTTGTTGTAGGTTTTTCGGGCTGTATGGCCATGTCAGTTGGAGGTTGTGAGGTCAGTTGGAAACTAGGCAAGGGAGGTTTATACCTCTGAGGATGCTTGCCATAGATGCAGGCGAAACGTCAGAAGAGAATGCCTCTAGACCATGACCATACAGCCCGAAAAAACCTACAACAACCCAGAGGTTTATATATTTTTATATATTTGTGGAAGGTGGGAGAAAAAAGCCTTATCTGCTTGAGGCAAGTGAATGCTGCAATTAATCACTTCGATTAGCATTGAAAAGTGTGATCAATTGCAATATTCACACTTGACTCCAACAGACAAGAGTTTTTTCTCCCACCTCGGACCTTCCACAAATATATAAAAATATATAAACCTCCCTTGCCTAGTTTCCAACTGACCTCACAACCTCCAACTGACATGGCCATACAGCCCGAAAAACCTACAACAAAACCTACAACACCTACCTCGAACAGACAACAGTTTTCTCCCACCCTGGCCATTCCACAGATATATAAACTCAATTTCCCTCGTTTCCAACAAACCCCCCAATCTCTGAGGACACCTGCCGTAGATGTGGGCGAAACGTCAAGAGAGAATGCTTCTGGAGCATGGTCATTCAGCCCTGAAAACTCATAGCAACCTTCATGTTTGCTTTATTTGTTTTCCAGTCGAGGCTACTGGGTAGGCACTAAGAGGTGGCTGGGCATCTCAGATCCGCTAGTTCTATTTTCTCAACGTATTTCTCGTGTATTATCATCACCATTATTATTATTATTATTATTATTATTATTATTATTATTATTATTATTATTATTATTATTATTGGAAGTGTTTGTGTGGAGGGAGGCGAATATCTGCCTCGCCTGCCAGGTCTTTCCTTGTCTTTCTCCCCAACTTTCGGGAGACTTCGCTTGCAATGCTGCGCCTCTCTGGTCCCTAGACTTACATCCCATTGAACTCAGTGGGGACAGGAATGGGACTTTGTCGCTAGTTACTAGTTTGCATTAAAAGGAGGTCAAAGGTCCCCCGGGGAGATAAGGTGGGGTACAAATAAAGTATTGTCGAAGGCTTTCGTGGCCGGAATGACTGGGTTGCTATAAGTCTCCCCAGCTGTATGGCCATGTTCCAGAAGCATTCTCTCCTGACGTTTCGCCCACATCTATGGCAAGCATTCTCAGAGGTTGTGAGGTCTGTGGGAAGCTAAGGGACATTGAATTTATATATCTGTTGAATGTTCAGGGTGGGAGAAAACTTCTCTGTTCGAGGTAGGTGTGAATGTTTCAACTGACAACTTTTACTACCATGTCAGACTACACAGAAGAGCCATTGAAATGCACAAGCATGTGGACAATTTCAACAGAAAGGAAGAAACCATGAAAATGAACAAAATCTGGCTACCAGTATTTAAAAAACCCTCTTAGGATGCCTGCCATAGATGTGGGTAAAACGTCAGCAAAGAATGCTTCTGGAACATCGCCATATAGCCCGAAAAACTCACAGCAACGTAGATAAAGCATTATTAGTATTATACTGACACAAAAACACACACACACACACATATAGTTTGCTGTGTCATCCTGTGCTTTCATATATGTATGTATATTTATATATATGCTGGATTTCGCATTATTATTGTTGTTGTTAATATTATAAATTTTACTGACACACAAGCACAGTACGTCACAGCAAACGAGATCTATATGCTGGATTTCGTATCACAAAATATTATTATTATTATTATTATTATTATTATTATTATTATTATTATTATTATTATTGGATGAGAAGGTGAAAGACAACCTCTGGAGCTCAATATGCAGAAATAGCTCCTGGGAGAGAGGAGATCTATTTTTGTTCGTCTCTTAAGGCCCTTCCGACGCCCCGATTTCGATCCGGAAACCATTCTTCAAAAACCAAGATACTCATAGGAAGCCCCTTCCTGGGCGGCATTTCGTTCACCTCCAAGATTGGGGAGAGTTGGGGTCTGAAGGTGGGTTTGAAAAAGGTGCGATTGTGGGCATTTTTCATAGAGTTTCCAATCACAATGCAGCTCGATGTGATTAGAAACAAAAGCGAGAAGGAAAACCCCGTTTATTCCATTTTAATAAACATTCCTACTCCATAGTGTTTGGGTTTGTTGTGGGTTTTTTTCTTTCCTGTTGGATTCCTTCCTCTCTTGCCTTCCTCCAAGTCTCCAATGCTATAATTCCACAAGACCCCTTTTCTTTCCTTCCTTCCTTCCTTCCTTCCTTCCTTCCTTCCTTCCTTCCTTCCTTCCTTCCTTCCTTCCTTCCTTTCTTTTTCTCTCTCCTCTACATGTATTTCTGTGTTTATCTCTTTCTCTTTCCCTCCTTTATGTGTTTATCTCTTTCTCTTTCCCTCCTTTATGTATTTTTTCTCTTTCCCTCCTTTATGTGTTTATCTCTTGCTCTTTCCCGCTTTAGTGTCTTTGCATGCCTTTTTAAAAATTTCCAAATAAAGAGAGACACTTAATAAATAGAAATAAGGCCAGGCAAGCCTAATAAATTGTAATAGTGGGTCCTGATTTTTAAAATATGGACTTCTCTTCGATGCAAACCATGTTGAGGGGAATTGTGGAAGAGACAAGGAGGTGGTGGCGAGACAGGCAAGGAAGGGTTTGTTCGGGTGGCATTGGAGGCCCTCAACTCTCACTTTCCCCTTCCTATAAGAAGGAAAAGAAAGGCAACTGGGGGTGGAAGGGACGTGTTTTGCACACACACAAAAAGGGTTAGGTGTGGCCAGTGTGTGCCACTGCATTGTGGTTAAAGAAGAGAGCCACAGTCTCGCTAAATCGAGAGGAAAGAGGCGAACGAACTAGGCCTTGTTCGAGGAAGATCTTGGGGCAGGAGGGGTTGCATTTGCAAGGCCTCCATGTGGGAACTATGTACACAACGAAGGCTGGGCTCTCACTGGGATCAATTCTCGCTTTCTCCTTCCTTTTCTCTCCCTCCTCCCGGGTTTCCCAGAGTCTCCTTCTCGTGCTGCCACTCTTTCTCTCTCTCTCTCTCTCTCCTTCCTTCAGATGCCAAAGGCTCCATCCGCGAGATTATCCTCCCGAAAGGGCTGGATCTGGACCGGCCCAAACGGACCCGCACGTCTTTCACGGCGGAGCAGCTTTACCGGCTGGAGATGGAGTTCCAGAGGTGCCAATACGTGGTCGGGCGAGAAAGGACCGAGCTGGCCAGGCAGCTCAACCTCTCCGAAACTCAGGTAGTGAGTTACTCCTCCGGACGAAGCTCCCCATCTACACTGACTCTATCGAATGCAGTTCCACGCTAGATCCGAACTAAATTCCAACTCCCACCGAAGAGCGTGAAAGGAAGCTCTGAATGGGCTCCGTGGTTTGTGTAAATAATTACACAAACTGGATTTCCTATGGAGCGTTGGAAACTGCATTCAATGGTCAGTGTAAACAAGGCCTAAGACAACCAGATTTTCCTCCTCTGGCCCACTGACACGCCCAGATTAGATTGGGTGGTCTCCAGGATAAAATGTTGGGTTTTTGTGTTTGTGTGAGAAACTGCAAGTCGCTCCTGGTGTGAGAGAATTGGCGTTACCCGGGGGATGCCCGGATGTTTTACCATCCTGTGGAAGGCTTCTCTCATGTCCCCGCATGGGAAGCTGGAGCTGACAGACGGGAGCTCACCCTGCTCCTTGAATGGAACCGCCACCTTTCGGATCAGCAGTCCTGCCGGCACAAGGGTTTACCCATTGCACCACGGGGGGGGGGGGGTATTCCTAAAATCCCAAAATTCTCAATCGACCCCATTCTCAACTGTATTCCTCCAGAGTTCAGAGATATATTTGTTTACCTTCCACACAATGTTCTTCAATAATAATTTGAAGGTGTATTGTTCTTTCATGGCCGGAATCACTGGGTTGTTGTAGGTTTTTTCGGGCTATATGGCGATGTTCTAGAGGCATTCTCTCCTGACGTTTCGCCTGCATCTATGGCAAGCATCCTCAGAGGTAGTGAGGATGCTTGCCATAGATGCAGAACGTCAGGAGAGAATGCCTCTAGAACATGGCCGTATAGCCCGAAAAAACCTACAACAATCCAATTTGAAGGTGGTTCTAACGGGAATGCAGGAGAGCACAAGTAATGGACAAAACACCTGGATATGGCGGGGGAGGGGTCAACACAAATAAGACAGGCAGACAGAGAAGATTCAAAATAGGTGGCATTTGAAAATAATAATAATAATAATAATAATAATAATAATAATAATAATAATCTTTATTTATAACCCGCCACCATTTCCCCAAAGGGGACTCGGGGCGGCTGACATGAGGCCAAGCCCAAAATACTACAACATAATTATACAATAATACAGGATTTCTATTTTGTCAGACTGTAGAGCTCGTGGAAGCCATTGGTTTCAATGTGTGTGTGTGTGTGGATTGCAGTCTTCAATACTGGCGATGCAATACATTCTAAGGAGAAGTAGAGAAATAAGAGTGTGTTGGGAAATAAGGCCCATAGTAAGCGGATGGACTGAGTAAAAGCTCCTGGGGAGGATAGGCTAAGAAGATATATTTCGGAAGATTTTTTTTTCAAGGCACAGAAACAGACTATACCTTGTGTCGCTGTGATTTTTCCGGGCTGGGTGGCCATGTTCCAGAAGCATTCTCTCCTAACGTTTCGCCCACATCTATGGCAGGCATCCTCAGATGCCTGCCATAGATGTGGGCGAAACGTCAGGAGAGAATGCTTCTGGAACATGGCCATACAGCCCGGAAAAATCACAACGACCCAGTGATTCCGGCCATGAACGCCTTCGAGGACAGGTTGTACCTTCTCACACTGTTTCCAAGGAATAATATCCCCCTTTGCCCCGCAAAACCGAGCCTCTCTGGGAATGTATTTAAAATTCAGGCTCGTGTGCGTGCCCTCGAGTCACCTCTCGACCTATGTGCCCACCGCGTGCCTTTCTCGTAGGGTTTTCTCATTCAACAGGTGGTTTTGCCGGTTCTTTTCTCTAAAACATACCCTACAACACTGGTATTGGTTGGCAGCCTTCCATCCCAGTGCTCAATCGAGCTCTCCTTGCTCAGCTTCCAAGATCAGATTAGGCGTGTCATGTTGACCTCTTGACGTCTAAACTGTATCTCCAAATAAGGACACACAAATGGGTTGGCAAATGAGTTCGGAAGATCCCCACCTTGCAAACCAGCATGATCTTTTGCAGGTTTCGCTTACGGGATTTAATGGGGTTTGTTCCCAAGACTGGCCCAAGATGGACAAAAAGTCCTCAGGATGTTTCTGTCCAGGAAAGGAAACTACTGTGTTGTTGTATTGTCGAAGGGTTTCACGGCTGGAATCACTGGGTTGTTGTTGGTTTTTCGAGCTATATGACTGTGTTCTAGAAGCATTCTCTCCTGACGTTTCGCCTGCATCTCTGGCAAGCATCCTCAGAGGTTGTAAGGTCTGTTGCAACTAGGAAAATTGGGGTTTCCTACTTCCACCAGATATATAAACCCAATTTTCCTAGTTCCAACAGACCTCACAACCTCTGAGGATGCTTGCCAGAGATGCAGGCGAAACGTCAGGAGAGAATGCTTCTAGAACATGGCCATATAGCCCGAAAAACCTACAACAACCCGAGGGTCTAGGTCCCTTCTACACAACTGAATAAAATCCCACATTATCTGCTTTGAACTGGAATATATGGCAGTGTGGACTCAGATAACCCTGTTCCAAGCAGATATTGTGGGATTTTTTAGCCTTGATATTCTGGGTTGTATGGCTGTGTGGAAGGGCCCTAAGACGGGTGAAGGGCTAGTAGTACATTTAGGCTGCTTGTCTTTAAAGAATCAAAATTACTTCTTTTGGACAACTGCGGAGAAAGCCGAATTTCGAGATGCCCAATTTTAAATTAAAACCAGACCTTGGGACGCTGTGCTATCCGAGTCTAGGGACCTTTCCACACAACCCTATATCCCAGGATATCAAGGCAGAAAATCCCACAATATCTGCTTTAAACTGGGTTATCTGAGTCCACACTCAGATAATGTGTGATTTCCTGCCTTGATATTCTGGGCTATAGGGCAGTGAGGAAGGGCCCTTCGTTTATTCATTCCATAGTGATCCACAGTGCCAGGAAATCCGCACAGGCCTCTTTCAAGTTGCCACTGCTGTGTCCGTAGCCCCACTCATTCCTTCCATGCTCACAATTCTTCTATTTATTTATTTTTTGTCAGATTGTATTTTATTTTATTTTCCTTTCGGTAACCGATCTCAAGGCCCTTCCACACAACCCTATAGCTCAAGACAGGAAATCCTATATTATCAGATTGTGTACCCAGTTCAAAGCTGATATTGTGGGGTTTTCTGCCTTGATATTCTGGGATATAGGGCTGTGTGGAAGGGCCCTGGGTTATCTGAGTCCACACTGCCATATATTCCTGTTCGAAGCAGATAATGTGGGATTTTATTCATCTGTGTGAAAAGGGGCTCATTTCTTAGGGCCCTTCCACTCAGCCCTATATCCCAGAATATCAATGCAGAAAATACCACAATATCTACTTTGAGGTGGGTTATCTGAGTCCACACTCAGATAATGTGGGATTTTATGCCTTGGGATATTCTGGGATATAGGGCTGTGTGGAAGGGCCCCAAGAAGATAAGTGTGGGTTTTACATGGGCGTAAATTCTATTTAATTTAATGGGCTACTCTCGATAGAAATGCTATTTAAATGTAGGCCTAATTGGGAAGCAACACAATGAAAGGTATAGCTTAAATTGTAATGAACGCTTGTCTCTTGTGTGTAATTTTAGAATAATCGGGCCATTTTGGGATTTAAAAAAGGAAGGAAGAAATAGGGGCAAAAAAAAAAGATACAAGGAGGAATTATAGCTGGAGGGATAGACACGTAATATATCAGCAATTTAAAGCAACCGAGGCCAGCAGGTAGCAGCACGCTAATATTTTGTAGGGCCCTTAACTTGATATTCTAGGATATTCTATATCCTAGAATATCAAGGCAGAAAATCCCACAATATCTGCTTTGAACTGGGTTATCTGAGGCCCCTTCCATAGAACTGAATAAAATCCCACATTATCTGTTTTGAATTGGAATATATGGCAGTGTGGACTCAGATAACCCAGTTCAAAGCAGATATTTGTGGAATTTTCTGCCTTGATATTCTGGGTTACATGGCTGTGTGGAAGGGCCCTGAGTCCACACTCAGATAATGTGGGATTTTCTACCTTGATATTCTGGGTTATATGGCTGTGTGGAAGGGCCCTAAATCCACACTCAGATAATGTGGGATTTTCTGTATTGACATTCTGGCATTTAGGTCTGTGTGGAAGGGCCCTGAGTCCACGCTCAGATAATGTGAGATTTTCTACCTTGATATTCTGGCATTTAGGGTTGTGTGGGAGGGCTCTGAGTCCACACTCAGATAATGTGGGAATTTCTACCTTGATATTCTGGGATATATGGCTGTGTGGCAGGGCCCTGAGTCTACACTCAGATAATGTGGGATTTTCTGCCTTGATATTCTGGCATTTAAGGCTGTATGAAAGGGCTCGTAAATGCGTTTTGGCGATTTCGCAAAACGACCACTGAGCCATTCCTGTCTTTCCCAAATACTATAAATAACTGTGCAAAAATACCATAAATTGAATGGGAAAGTTAAATGGGGGGGGGGGGATATTCAGGAAATATTCAGGAAGCCTTAAGAAAAGATGTGTATGCATAAATAAAATAAACTTGCAAAACGACCTCAGCGACGAGGAGGAGGCAAAAGATAGATTTCTCATTTCTAGTTAGATCTAAAAATAATATCACTGGTCGATTGCTCCATTCAAGCTCATGAAATGGGTTCGGGTTAAGATCACTTTTAGTTGAAGGGATACTGGGCCTGAGAGAGAGAGGAAGAGAGAGGAGAGAAAGTGCGAAAGCGAGGCGCAAAGAGAGGTGTGATTTCTTGACCGGAAAGTCCGGTGGGAGTATCCTTCCAAGGTCAAGAGAGAAAGCGAGAGACAATCCGTGCCAAAAATAAAAACACGAAGCGCATTAAGGGAAAGGGTTCGGTTTTCTTGAAAAGATGCCTTCCTTTAATAATGACAAACAAGCTCATTAGCATTTCTGGCTGTCAGATTTCGCCGAGGTTGGAGGACGAAGGAAACAGGCTCCCGAAGCCAGAGCCAGTGGCATGTGATATTGATTTGAGTGAAATCATATTTGAGGTGGAGGAGAAG